TATTCAGAAAACATACGTTTCGGGTCTTGTGATTTGACCTATCTTTAGTGCTACAATTATTTCAGGGTTACAATTTAAAACAATAAAAAAAAACATAATTACAGACAAAAGTAAACAAAAACATTTTTTTATTATAAAAACAAATCTTTATAGACGATCTCGATGAAGACCGAACGTATGGATAAATAAAGTATTTCAAAACTTCTTTAGTTTTTTTTCTTGATGTTACTGCCCGATTCTAAATAACTCATCAAAATATATATCAACATCAAACTCATATTTCAATATATATATATATATTATATATATATATATATAAAATATATATATATATTAACTTAAAAAAAATTGCTACATATTAGTAAAAATTTAAATTATGTTTACTTACATTTACCATAATTGAATTTATCACAGGTTCAGCAATAATCCAGTCCACCCACGGCCTTTTAAGTACAGTTGGTTACAAATTAGGACCAATGCTCCTACCACATATGCCTTGGAAGGTTCCGTAGCTGTAGCAGGTTGTAATAGAACTATTTTTGAGATTTGTTTTTCAATATTTTACGTTGTTACATGTCAATTTAGGAGCTGCTATCCAGTGGTTGAGGGACAACTTGGAGGTGATATCAGATGCCAAAGAATCTGAAGAACTTGCCAAAGTGTTGATAATTGCGGCGATGTTTATTTTGTTCCTGCATTTTCTGGACTATATGCACCTTACTGGAGGAAGGATGCAAGAAGGTATGAGACAACTAATGAATTCAAAATTCTTGAAGTAAAACTTCTTTAGGCGCGACTAGGGTGTAAGTCCGTGCAAATGCAACGGAAAAGGCGTTACGGCCGAATCGTGTGCCAACAATTCGTCATTCGCTCTCGATGATATCATTGCTATACTGGTCGATTGTGCTTAGTCGTCGCATATGTGAATCGAGATCTGTCGTTGTATGCGTACCGATATCAACAAGGAAATCGGCATAGATAAATAAACATTTTAAAGTTACATCGTAGTACAAATCTTGATTTCATGAAAAATTCCTGAATCAGAAAATTTTTGTACCCTGTTCCTTGAAAATAATAACACAAATTCAACATTTGTGCCGTGTATTAAACGTAGGTTTATTGATTAGAAATTACTTTTATATTATTCGTAGTTTCTATAAATTTTTGAAGTTATTGAAATAGAAAATATTTTTGAGAAGACAGATTTTACAGCTGTTTAAAGAATGAGGTTATATCGCCAGCGAAAAAGTAAAAAAAATACAAGCAGTCAATGAATGTATGTTAATTTGAATTACATAAAGTTCTTCAAACACAATTACTTGAGTGAAGTTGCGAAAACAATATTTGTTTAGGCGCTGTTTAACATAATCCATTGTGTGAACGAATATTATAGAAGTTATTAATCAGCAATTACTACACCTCTAATAAAGGTTCATTTCTAAATGCTAATTACAATGACAAACCGATCATGTCGTATTTGAAGTATGACTATAATTACATTATTGTTTTTAAATATTATAAATATTTTTAATGCTATTATAAATATATAATTTATAATTTATCATTATATAAATGTGTATAATGGTTGACACTAATAAATGTGTGCATCACGAGTGTTACCATTTTAGTAATAAACATTATTGAAAATTGTTATATGATGTATTATTTTTTATTTAATTGCATGTTAAATTTACGCGCACTCTTTTTTTTTAAATCTCCTCTTACCATAACTGATGTTTTATCATTTCAGTGTTATTTGTGGTTTGACTGAAAACACTAAACCAGGCCATATAATTAGAGCTGCCTTGGAATCTGTCTGTTTCCAAATACATGATATTTTGCATGCAATGAGTTTGGATTGCTCGCTTCCTTTGAGCAAACTTTTGGTTGATGGGGGCATGACTAATAACGATCTACTAATGCAGACACAAGCTGATCTTTGTGGAAAACCAGTTGGTAAGGAACATAAACTCTAGTGGTGCATGACATCGTGCCTTAAGGCAAATTGCTGGAACTTCCCGTACCAGAATTAAATATTTGAGAAAAAAAATTAGTAATCAATGAATACTGATCAATGGTCAATAACAATTGTTTTAAACATTTTTAAATAGATAATCATAATCACTATATATTTTATCGTTCATAAAATATACAGAGACGATCTTATTACTTAAACTTGAGAAAGTTTACATTAGCAAGAGGTGCCGAATTAATCCATTTAAGGATATATTTCTTACGATTAGAATGACGCATTTGAAATATTTACATTTTCAAACGGGTTGTAAATTTAAAGTACATATTTGAAGTACATATAAAATTTTGTATATTTTTGAAAATTTCGAAAAAAAAAATGGCTGAAAATTTTGAAATTTGCTTGAACCGTATAAGTAAATTTAATTTAACAATTTAACAATCTTGGTACGGAACCCAACAAAATTAGTAAAATCTCATTTTTAAAATTTCATCAAATATCTGATAATTTAATGAGCATATACCTCTCTAATGATCATTTTTCACCGCTAAATATCATTTTTTTTACTTTTTCTTCTGTATCTCCGAAACCGTTAGACCTGCCTTACCAAAAATTTCATCAATTCTTCATTTCGGCAATACAAGTAAAATGTTTTTTGAATCAATCAAATCGGGTACTCCGTTCTCTCAAAAATTGAATTACCGTTTTTGGCAGTTTTTGCCCCGTATCTTCGAAACGACTGGACCTGCCTTTGCTAAAAACTAATCAGCACGTCTCCTTATCAATACAAATCGAATGTTTTTTTAATTATTCAAATCGGTTGATTCGTACGCCCGAAATAGTGGACGAAAAATTGTATCCGCCAGCACACACACACCCATACACCCCCCACACATACATACATTTTTTCTAAGGCATGCCAAAATACTCGTATTCAGAAACTATTTTTTCATTTTTTACGTTTACTATAACTTGCCCTACGGAAAGTTAATATATTATTTTTTTTATTTCTGATTTGTGTGAAACGACAGCTTTGGGTTGTGCGATGGCTGCAGGAATGGCAGCTGGCATCAATGTTTGGGAAATGCAGAGTAATGCTGTTCCTCATGATATATTTTATCCAAATATCACTGATGATCGTAAGTTTGAGGAATAGACAACAATTAATCAATGCATATGGCGCAATTCTGCCGTAACAGACCTCATAAATTAGCGTTGCCATGGCAACGCTCTCTTATGCTAGTTCTTGGTATTGAAGATTATGAGAATGTCTATTTATTTGCCGTGCGATCAGGCGTATTTTACATATAAACAAGGGAGAATGTTATGATAACTGCTTCATTATTCATAAGATCATTCCTTATCTTAAAGTACTATACTTAAAAGTACGCCTTATCCCATGGCAAATAGACATTTTCATAATTTTCACTACCAAGAACAAGCATAAGAGAGCGTTGCCATGACAATGCTATTTCATGAGCTCTGTTACAGCAGAGTTGCCCCAATATTTAAATTTTTTATCAAATACTCTTTAACAAGTGTTAGTTTCATATAATGTACGGAATTTATGTATTACTAGTAAATTATTTAGTAATCATAGTTATTATTACTAGTTTATTGAATTTTTCAGATCGCGATATGAGATATTCCCGGTGGAAAATGGCTGTGCAGAGAAGTTTAGGTTGGGAACCAGAAGAGAAAAAGAAAATAAAATGGGGTTCGTGTTTCTTTATACAATGAGTGCCAAATTCAGTACAATCGATTGATAATATTATACATTCCATATATTTTATATACTGTTTATAAATCTATATATCTATTTTTCGAATAAAATTATTGGGACCAGTATATCAATGTTCATTTCTAACAATCCATAAACATTCATTTCATAAAAATCATTGATCATTCACAGATTGATAGCTTTGTGTTGCAACGTTATCAATCGATTGTAGTGTTAATGTTATTCTATCATGTTGTGTCAAACGTCTTTTAATCATGATTTATTGTTCCAGATCGTAAGCAAAAATGAAGGCTTCAATACCAGCTAGTTTATTCATTTTATCAACATTTATCATATTGACTTTAGCTAGTCTGAAAAGCCAGTCATAGATTTTAATTGTTTTAGTATTTTATGCCTTGAGTGTTCATTTGAGTGCCATATGTTATGCCAAAGTTGCATGAGGTATTTTTTGTGATATTTTACTGAGTCATCACACTAATTTTTAAGTAGCATTTTAACTAATTTTTAATTGAGGAGATGCCAATGTTTCTTATGTATATATGTGGAATAAACATTTTAGTTTTTAATTGAAATTTCATTAAATAAGGGATCAATATATTAAAATTTCTATCGGAATGCAATACCGGTATACCGACCAAATTTTTGGCTGTATTAATACCAGTATTCACCTTAAAATTACCGTTTTTTTCGGTATTTTTACATAAGCACTAGTCGATATATATTACACTCAAGTTTAAATTTCCAGGAACAAATTTATCTTCAAATTCCTTAATTGCATAAACAGATATATCTTTAAGTGATTCTATAGTATAAACAAATGCCAAAATATTATCTCAACTCGTCATTAAACTGAATATTTATTGCTTTCCAAAGGGCTTCATTATTGGGTTACAATAAATAAAATCGGACTGATAGTTAATGATTCCCAGTAGAAATGAATCGTGGCCAGAGGGGTAAAAAATTGTGGTGCAATATTCAAATTTTGTTTTTAGATGGACCGGACAAAATTTGTTTTCAAAATTATGAAAAATTCATGGAAAAACTGTTTTATATGGTTTATTATAAAGAAAAAACATGTTTCCCACCTGATTTACACGTCTAATTTTATATTTACACGAATTATATATAATTTTTATATGGAAGAATTTTGTGGGCGACCAAGATTCGTTTCTTCGGAAAATAGATGGTATTTATGTGGATCACGAAAAAAATCAACTTTAAATAATTAATTAGCACCAAAATTCTTTAAGACTGTAAGAATTGATTATTTATGCCCAAATTACTTTTATCTAATTCATTTATTAGTAATAAAAATATATCATAATAACATTTATCAATAATATAAAAATTTCAGTCTGACCTAACTTTTCCTCTCCATTCTACAACTTAGAAAATACTGGCTTTTCACCCTTCATCGCCTGAGCCATGCAAGCGTTTATAAAATCTTCGCTTTGTAACAATGTTTGATTGTAAGCAGCCTGGAATAAAATAAATTTATTACATTCATATATATATATATATATATATATATATATATATACATTTGTATTTATATTTATATTTTTAAATTTTTACTTACAATATGATCTAATCCTTCTTGATTAGTATGATCCATGGAATAAATAATACTTTTCTTTGTCATTTGTACTGCCACTGGACTTTTAGATGCAATTTCTTCAGCGAGATTTAAACAATGTGATAAAAGGCTGAAATAAAATAATGTAATAAAATATATATGACAAATACAACTATAAATATAAAGAATAAGGGTAAAATGATACACATATCACATATGATACTACATAAAATATAGCAAACGAAATCATTTACAAAATATAAAAATATAATTTGTTAGAGCGGGTCCCTGTTATACAAGTACCGCATTATGCGGGGGTTACCTGTATTTTCAAAAGTAAGCCAAAATTTTGCAAATCGTATTAAAAAATAAACAAAAAGTAATTAGTTTTTATGCATATTTTTACATATTATTGTATATTCATTTGTGGTCTGATAATTTCGGTTGAGTATTTATAAAATTAAATTGTTAATAAAAAAAATTAAGGGAGCACATTTTTTTTTATTAGAGCAGGGGAGCACGGTTGGAAACCACTGCATTAATATGTTTCTCGAAAAATAGACTTAACCGGATTTTACTAGACATTATAAAATCACTTAACATACCTCTCTTTATTTTCAAGAACTTTTCCAATAAGTCCACATTCAAAAGCTTCCTTACTTTGGAACTTTCTACCTGTAAAACACAGTTCACGAACCAGATTATTATTACCAATGACCTAAAATAAATAAATAGTATTTAAGAATGATTATGACAACTTGTTATAATAATAAATAATTAGAAATACCTTAGGTAACCTTTGTAAAGTACCAACATCTGCAGCCATTCCTATCTCGACTTCTTTAACTTGGAACCAAGCATCTTGTGTGCAGTACCTTTTTTATATACATAATATATATTTTTATATCAATTTTATAAAAAATATATAACTTATGATATTAACTTGTGATTTCTCATTCAATTCATTATTGATTAAAAAATCAGTAAATAATAAAAAAGTGGTTTTTATGTTTATATATTTATAAAAAGATTATAAAAGCAAAAATTGCAAATGACCAATATAAGCAATTGTTGAATGAAGCACATTTAGGTTATTTTAATGAAACTTTGCCTGATATAAAGTCTATAATTTAAACAAATTTACTAAAATATGATATAGCCCTACGAAAAGTGGTTTAAAAACATTCATTAAAGTTTGAAATAATTAACTGCTCACTTAGTTAGAAAATACACATAAAGGTTCCCTTTATTCACTTAAATAAACTTAATTTTAATGTTTTTAAAAAAAAAAATTGTTTGTAGATTGAAAATAATTCAGATTTTAATTTTTATTCTGGCTAAAGTTCTGAAGCTCACTTATATACTCTAAATAAATAATTATAACTTTGCAATTCCGTTTATATAATTCTTATAAATATTAGACAATTTTACAGTATTTATAATGATCTATTTTAAAACATTTAACATTCTTTGATCATTTCGTTACAGTACGGGAAGTTCTATCAATTTGCCTTAAGGCACGATGCCACACACCACTAGTTTTATTTTTGATTTAACATTTATGAAAGATATGAATATAATTAATAATTTTACAAATCTATTGAAAGATATCAATTAGAAATCTCAATGATTAATTCTCTTAATAGTGCTCTAAATAAAAACACTTTATTTTTGCAATAAAACACTTTTCATCACAAAGCTGATAAATCTCAATTCTTATATTAAATGATTTATTCTTTATTTATATTATATATTTATTATTCATTTATTTATTTATTTATTCAAAGCCCAAGGCAATAATATGATATAATTAAATTTTAAAGTGTGCAAATCATAAACTAAAGAAAATATAAGAGAAAATTAGAGTACTGAGAGTTCATAGATAGCTTTGTATTATTATGTTTGCGTATATCAAAAACATCATGCAACTTGCCTTAAAGCAAAATGCAACTTAGACCTAGATAAAAAAATGCTTTATATCTACCTTACCTCAAATCAGCAGCAGTAATTAAATCGACACCAGCACCAACACAGGCCGAATGAACTGCAGCCAGGACAGGTTTCGAACAGTTTTCTAAAGATGAAATTGAGTTTTGGCAATTTTTTATCATATTCATCATAAATTTAGCTTTTCTGGCGACATCTTCAAATTCTGCAAGCTCTCCTCCGAGCTTCATCATGTCTTGGAGATCAATTCCTAGAAAAATAATAAAAAAAAATTAAAAATAAACGATTGAACTACTTACTAAATTAAATATATTAATCTATAAATGTATTACATATATATATATATATATATATATATATACGTGGTCTGTTCAAAAGTACCCGGAATTACTAATAATTAAATTTCGCGGGTCTGGAGTGTCTGATTGTCAAATTTTTTTTATTGTGTTGGTATACATGCCCCTAAAGTATGATGAAATTTTCAGCTATATTCACTGTTTACTTTGTCTGTGGTAGTCGCTAAGGTTCGACGTGTTTTCTGAGCTCGGCGATTTTTACAATGGAAGAATTGAAAAGTCAAAGAATTTGTATTAAATTTTGCGTAAAAATGAAATAAAGTGTTGCAAAGTGCAAAAATTCACCAGATATGGTTCCGTGTGGACTTTTTTCCTATTCCCAAAGTTGAAGAGACCCATGAAAGGACGGCGGTTTTCCTCGATTGAAGAAAATCGCTGAGAGTGCTCAGGACATATCAAAAAGTGAATATCAAGGGTGCTTCGAAATTGGAAAAAATCGCATAAGTGTATTATATCTGGGGGACTACTTTGAAGGGGACCACATTAATGTAGACGAATAAATAAATATTTTTTTGAAAAAAACGAAAATTCCGGGTACTTTTTGAACAGACCACGTATATATATATTACTAGCTGTCCCGGCAAACGTTGTTTTACTAACAATAAGTAATAGTATAGGAGCCAGCAACGTTTTCGAGCAAGCATTTTAGTCAGGCTGGTTTTTTGGTATGTGGTCCTTGGTGCTCTCTCGGTTAGGGTAAGGGCCGTATGGCAGCTGGAAGTGGTTGCGTTAATTAGTGCGCAGCCAATTTGTACAGCGCGATTTCAAAATTTTGAAAGCATTTTAGTCAGTTCAATTTCGTTTTTTTGACTTCGAATAGGTTCACCAGACTCAAATTTTTCGTTGCCAGACATTTTGGGCGCTGCTAAATATGTGCCAGACGCCAATTTATTTATTAATTTTTAAAAATTCAAATCATTTTAGTCCGTCTGAAATTTTAGTATTATTGTTCGTTAATGGTAAAAACACGTAAAATAATTTGCCAGACGTTTCTGCGGTTGTTAACCATGTCTGGCAAGCAAAAATGTCTGGCAATATGATACTAGTTTATAGCATTTTAGTCAGTCTAATTTCCATTTTTTGATATTGATATGACTTGATATGATCTCTTGCATAAGTTATCCAGATTCACATTCTTGTGCCAGACATTTTGGGCGCTGCCAAATATGTGCCAGACGCCAATTTATTCATTAATTTTTTTTAAATTTCAAATCATTTTAGTCCGTCTGTAATTTTAATATTATGTTCATTAAGGGTCAAGAAACATAAAATTAATTTGCCAGACGTTTCTGTGGTTGTTAAGCATGTCTGGCAACGAAAAAAGTTTACCAATATGATACTAGTAGACAGAGTGAGACAATCGCCAAATATATTGGCGCGAATGAAACAAAAAACTATTATACTCGTAAGAGCGCAATACGTTACTATTTAAAGTTAGTGCAATTTCAAATAACATTTCATAAAACAAATAAAATAAAGTTAAATAACCTAATTCCTAATTAGAAAAGACAAAAAAATTGCATCATATTAGTCAATTTTAATTTTACTAGCTCTAAAAATATGTTAATGATTCTAAAATATTGCTGTTAATATTTTCAAAAATTTGACTCGACAGTGGTTAAGTAACATCGTCAATTTCCTAAGAATATCATATTTTAAGTTTGCAATGAGAAATGACAATAATCATTATTTTTGTTGTACGCCTTTTTTTATCGCAAGTTAACTGAGTCAAATGACTTCATTTTACATGGTAACTTAGTTAGCAGCAACTATTTGTAACACAATACCTATACTTAATACTGGTAATACTAGTTTTGCTACCTACTAGTTCAAGCTACCCCTAGAATAGAATCTTAAAATTCTAGTATATATATACAATATATATATACAGCAAAACATTCTCCGCTCTTTTCTTTCAGCTTTTAGCTGTAAATGAAGCAATGTTTTTTTAAAAACAAAAAGTGTATTTAATATTCAAAAATTCAAATGGGATCATTTAGATCAATATGTATCACTATATAATGATAGTATTACGACCTAGGTCTCTTAAATCAAGATTATAATGGAAATTCGTTTTTTTAACAACGAATAAAAAACGTCTATTATACAGATTTATTCGTCTTATGGCTTAATGATACAATAATACAGTAATGTAGCTACAGGTTATCTCCTTCTCAGTGTTGGTACTAGAAACTGGCACATTGATTCAATATGATAACTGTTTAAGCACTTTGGATGTTATAACACGCCTCGCATTCATTTATACATAAT